TGACAATTTTCATAATGTTCGGTTGTGATTGTATTTATAAGGATCATCTAATACGAGGTACTGAACTGAGTGTAGCCGACCGTAAAGCGGTAACCTGAGTGTGTTCGGTACTGTTGACCACTGTCCTATGTAACTTACGTGTGTAGCGCTACAATGTGCTGGGGGGATTAACATATTTGTTTTGTGCATGTATTCGTTACAGATCCAATGCTGATGGTATCTGAGTGGATGCGAGCAAAAGTCGAACTAGTGTTCGGGAGTTTCCACTGTGCCCATTCACTGAGGTCGATGTAGCATACCGCAGCGGCTACAATGCTGATCATAATGTCTTGTGGCATTCGCTTATAAAGGATCCAATCAAGATACCTCATCCAGCCATCGTAGCTAGCTACTGTATAGTTACATCGGCAACAGTACCGAACACACTCAGCTTCGGCTTTGCTCGCTACGCTCCATTACCTCACCATTACAATGAGTACAGGAATAGTATCAAGCCAGGCGCTACGAGCACTGTTCCCGCAGGAAAATGGATATCGACACAGAAATCACCACAAAACCACTAGGAAATAACAAGGAGGGATGAATCCGGTCCGAGGATCCACTCTCCACTGTGCTTGTGTGTTGTCGTGTAGCCTCCTTCGCTTGACGGCTGTTGCCATTTAATGACTCGACGACGATCCGTTCAGGCTGTTGGTAGGGCTGGAGTTAACAGTTTCTTCCGTACACATACCTCCGTAGCGGTAGCCTCTTCTTCCTCATGTTATTCGGAGCGATCAATCGTTCGTTGGACCGCGACCAATGGTAATTCATCGGCCGTCAGCAGTACAGCAGAGAAAACAACAAATAGATATGAGTTTTGTTTTCTGTGCTCAACTGCAGACGACCGGAGACTTACCATTGTTTTTCAAATTGCACCAACTTGGCCGTCATGGGCCAAGAACTGACTGCCATCCCAAAATGGTACAATTTCAATGGGGATGGCTTTCCAATCTGCACCAGAGAAGGACGGCTTGAGTGAGGCTTGGATAACAGAGGTGCGAGCGATCGATCGATTCGAATAAATAAAACAACTCACCTGTTGATGGCCGAGACCTGACTGCCTGCCCATGGTCCATAGAAATGAATGAGGGATGGCTTTCAAATCTGCACCTTCAATAACACTCTTGATAATAGACTTACCTCGTATCGTTCGATCGATTGATCCAAAGATCGAGTCAACAATGGGATTTCTTCGGCCGTCGGCAGTGAGAGAACAGAAAGTAACAAATGAGTATGTGTTTCTCTTCTATTCTGGTACTGAGGAAAACCGGAGACTTCTTCTTGTTTCATCGTCGGCCGAGAAAAGAAAACCTTCCCGATGTGGTACGATTTCAATAGGGATGGCTTTCTCGTCTGAACCCGCTTGATAGTCACGGTACCAGCTAGACTGTACCGGTACAGTTGTAGAGGTGCATGGAGTTTTCACCTTAACCTTAGTAACTTCAACGGTTCTTTTATCCATGAATCCATCTAAATATTTCGAAAGAGAACCTGTTACTTAACGATACACATGACCGTTGATTCTGCAACTGAAGTGCGGGTACACTAATTTTCACAGTAAACGCGAGCCAATCGATTTCAGAGAGCAACTGAGGGGGTAGCCAAAAGGTGCGTCGTCTCATGGAGACGAAACATGACAATGTAGTACTGTATGGTTGGCCAGCGAGTAGGGACTGAACCTGTGAGTCAATTTTTTACTCAGTGAGTAGCCTGTAGAAATCATGTAGCCCTGGTACTGTAGGGCTAATTTAATAGAATGTGGCATTGGTCCGCTAAGTCCCTGCAAGCCAGCAGGAGGGCTCCTTGGCTGGACCTCCCTGGCCACATTTCAAGGAGATTCAAAAAGGGGCGCACCTATGGTGTTGCACCTGATGGCTGTGATGGGCAACACCTACTAGCTACCAGGCATTGCACCAACCACCATCATCTCTAATAACTCCAACATGACCATGGTTGATTTCCTAGCGGCATTTCCACTGCCACAACATGCCCAACAACAGGAAACAGAACAGCCTGAACAAGAGGATACCGTAGGAATGGCAGCTGCTACTAATAATAATGATGCTTACTTGGAACCAATTCCGCTCAATGATACTGGTGGCAACAATGACGAAGTGTTGGGGTTAATGGCTGACGCCGAAGACGAGCTCTTTATGGACTTGAGGGATGATAAACGCAACAGTGCCATCGTTAAGGAAAATAATGCACTGAAGCATTTCGATTGCTTCAGCAAGTTGCGAGCGGATCAAAGCGGCACTACTTTCATAGCTGCCAGGGATATCCAGTACAGTGGCACTGAAGCTGAAATGAAGTGGTGGGACGATCATATTGGCCGGCTGTTCACCTACTTTGCAAAGCACGCTAGGCACTACTGTGATCCCCAGAAGGCCCGCATATCGTATAGTTCTGCTACTGGATATGCCAGCTCCATCAAAGCGTACTTCTGCAACAAGTTCCGTTCCAGCCCAACTATCCCAGTCTTCAAGCAAGAAAGCTGGCGGCGGCTACGAGCTGGTCTTTTGGCTAGCTACGAGGAGGCATCCAGAGAAACTGGCAAGAGTCTTACCAATCCGCACATTGCATCCACTAAGCAGGACCGCCGTGCCATTGCTGCTGGCTGTGCTTGGTTCAACACTACCGCCGCCGCTGAGTTTTGGCATCTTAACAATACAATGACTCAGTTCAGTGGCCGTGGAAGTGAGGTTGCTCTGAATAAACGGGAACACCTTACTGTGGCCGAAGTCAATGAGCAGCAAGTTCAGTATGAAGTCATTGAATCCAAATTGCAACGTCAAAAGCACGGCCCCGAGTCAAGTCTTCAAGTATATCCACACCGGGACTCTTTTCACGAAGACTACTACTTCTCCCTGGGCTACCGAATCATTATGATGGCAGACGACAATGACTACCTTTTCCCCGAGTTTGCCTCAAAAGCACAGCAAAAAACTGATTCCAAAAGTGATAGTAAGGTATCACTCACTTTGGACAACATACTTCAAAGAGCTCTACAGCAGTGAATGTCGGCATCTTGACCAAGACATAAACCAGCAATTAACATCCCATCACGGCAAGAAAGGATCCAATCAGCTTATGAGTGATACAGCCGCTCGTTAGTGGTTTAGCTCAAATCTTCCGAACTGGCTGGGTTGTACGTGGCTTCCACAGTATATTCGATTACATCGTTGGTCAAAATCGATGACCAAAGCTGCGGGCAAGGCAGTAAGTGGCTGGACAGCTAAGATTGGTGAAGAGATTGTGGGTGGCCAGCCCCCCAGACTAGCTGATGCGAGCACCCAGGGCGATCTATTGAGCAA